AGAGAGAGAGAGAGAGAGAGAGAGAGAGAGAGAGAGAGAGAGAGAGAGAGAGAGAGAGAGAGAGAGAGAGAGAGAGAGAGAGAGAGAGCTCTTCTAGCCATGCACAAGTAGACTCGTTGTCTTGAGGCTAGTCGCCAGAATGCTCCAGTGGTAAAGATGGTTGCAATCTCACCCTTCTCTCCTTGCCAGTGCGGCAAGAAGTTGGGGGAAAAGAGTGAAAGAAGAGCAAGTTGGCAGGAAAGGCTCTCTCTTTCATCATCTTGCACATGAAGGGATCTGATTTGCGGAGCCTGTGGCTATGACCGCCCACAGGCAACTGGTTGTTTAAAATGGTGACTTGCCATATCCCCTGCCTGTGGATGGCTATGGTCTTCCGCAGAATACATCACAAGGTCATTACAGCTGCAGTGAGTGTAATTTTCAGGCCAGATAGAGGTACAATTACTGGGTGTTGCGTTTGGGGAGCGAAGGCAGTTGGATGATAGCCACAACTGGTTGTGCAGGTGGAAGCTGGCTAGAGTCGATGCTGGCTGTTCACTGAAGGTGAGTGCAATGCCAGGTATTCTGGCCATACTGACCCTGACTGAACTTCGTTTACCTTCAATCAACACTACGTGTTCAGACTTGGTAACACTTTATATCGTCTTTGGCCGGACATAACGTACCCTCTTCACGACTGTATCGGACCGGAAAGATAGCTTGTATGCATTCATAATCAGGGTGTGTTGTATTTGGCGGAAGACGGTAGTGACTGCCTGCACCTCCTGGCTATGGTGGGAAGCTGTCTGGCTATGGAGGGTGTCTATCTGTACCTTCTGGATATGGTGGGAGACTATGGCTCCCGTGATCCGTCCATGAATTAAATTGAGTGAGTACTTCAGCCACTCAGCCATATCTCCCGGGGAAAACGGGATTTGAACCCGCAACTTCTGGTGTGAGAGACCAGCACTCTAACCAAAAAAGTAAAATTTCCCATTTGGGTAATAACGGACTTGAAACACTGTCTCTCTCGGTGTAAACAAGGCACTCTATGAAGTGAGCTGATTACCCCCATGTTGGTCGCGAAAGATGGTGGCTCCTTTCTCCTCCTACCTCTAGCCTACCACTACTATCTGGTCTTCAGCACGGATGAGGAGCAATGATCCTGAAGCGCGGTAGCGGAAGCTCTGATAGATCGGCAAGCTCCCCTGTCACAGTTTGTGGTATAGACACAGAGGACACACTCTGTAACAGCGGCAATGCGCTGTACTTAGTCTCTCACCGTTTGCAAAGTCCAGAGAATGGGTCTCCCTGCGCTACTCAACATGCTACATGCATGTCGATGCCTTTCTGGACCAGGTGCATTTGGACGAGACCAACATTTTGAATGTAAGAGGAGTATGCTGGGGTCCAAGTACATATAGAGTCTTGTGCAGTAGAGCGAGGCCCAATGACCTGGGTGGTTAGTACCAGATAGCGAAAACTGACCCCAGGGAACCTCGCTAAGTTGCTTTTGTCACTGAAAACCAAAACCACAGCTGAAGAAGCACTGCAAGCCAAAATGATTGGAGCCTTTTCTTGGAGGTATAAGGTGCAAAATGACGCCAAACACTACTATTGGTAGGATAGGGACAAAGAACTGCCGACCGACAGATGAACTGAAAAAAAAAGCACACGAGCTGGGGAGTTGGGCACATCAGCCGTGGATTGTACCATCATTTTTTTGAGTTCATGCTTCTCCGCATCAGTGGCCCTTTGTGTGGTGATCCCTCCCCATCCATGCTAACAAGCGAACTTCTATCTTCTCTTTTTCTCCCACCTTTCATTTCCGTGCAGTTGTCATGTGAGGACCCGCTGCCTGCCTGCATTGATGGAGGGCTGCCAAGTCGGGTACTGATCTGCCCCCCCACCCCCGGCAGTAAGGGGTTCCAGACCTCCGAAAGAATGACAGAGTGGCGGAGCTTCCTTGAATCAGTACAGGCCAGATGGTTGCTGTACACTTGACTGACCGATCTAGGCATACACTGCCGGCCACCCAATCACCAAAAGACCTTGAGCCTTGCAAGGTCATTGATCTGCTGCCTCATTGCAGATTTCACAGTCTCGTTAAAGGAGATCAGATTGTTGTGACACCATGCCATTTTGCACCATTGTGGAAGGCGAGGGAGGCACATATTCGCCGCTGGGGATGGAAAGGGAAGGGCTTGTTCCACTTAGACTGTTCTACCAACTCTACGGCCATGGCGAGTCAAAGATCCTTTTAATCATGGGACTGGCAGGAACACACCATGCATGGGCTCCACAACTGAAGGCACTCTGTGGTACAGATGTTGCAAATCAGGGAGAAGAGGAAGGAGACAACGCGGTGAGCAGTAGCGAAACTGAAGGAGACAAAGAGGGCAGATGCTCCACAAGTACTCAGGTTGGCAGCGGTGGACGGCAATGCTGTGCTTTCGACAATCGAGGAGTTGGGCAGAGCTCAGCTCCTAAACAGACACAGGCGTACTCAACCACACGGATGGCAAGGGATGCCCTAGCTCTGATGGACCATCTGCGATGGTCAAAAGCGCACATATTTGGGCATTCCATGGGCGGAATGATCGCCTGCAAGATGGCAGCCATGGCGCCTACCCGAATCGCTTCCCTTGCAATCATCAACTGCTCTATGGGTGGCTATGCATGCATCCCGAACTTGAACTGCAGCATGTTGGCCGTTATCTATCGTTTTTTGCGCGCAAAGACGCCAGAGGCCCGAGCGGCTGTGGACTTAACCACACATTATACCTCGTCGTACTTGGACGCTGTGACGGAGACAGGCGAAACGAGGCGGGTGGTTTTGTACAAGGAATACGTACAGGCAATCAAGGCGTCTGGGATGCAGGAAAGTTATGGTCAAGAGGGCCATGTGCACGCATGCTGGACGCACTGCCTAACTAAGGAGGAGTGGCGCGCCGTCTGTACAGCTGGGTTTCTGGTGTCAGTCGTTCATGGCAGGGGGGATATAATATGTCCGATCGAGCGAGGCGTCAAAATCGCGAAACACCTGGGGCCGGTAGCGAAGTTTGTCGACTTACCAGGAGGCCATTTCCTTACTCGTGAGTCGAAAGAAGAGGTTAATGAATGTCTTCTAAGCTTGATAACGGCAGCGGAATCGGGCGTGGACACATCGGAGTGGTCACAAGAAACAAGGCAGATGTTAGGTAACTCAGGTTGGCAGCGATCTGGTCAGAGTGCAGAATCAGTAACAAGCCGCTGTTGGACCCAGCTCAAATCTTTCATTCTTTGCCAACCATGGACCAGCCGCTCCTCTCTCTGCTCAGCCAGAGTGGTCAGCTGACCGAGCATAACCACCGAAGCGTTCCGAGGTCACAACCTTCCTGCCTATGCATCCCTCTTGTGTCTACCACTTGAAGAGGGTCAGTTCACCTGCTGTTGGAGTTGGTGCACCCTTTCTCTCTGGTGTTCTTTTTCCTCTGTCGCAGTCAGCCTCCGAACCCAAAAAAGAAAGCGTTTCGAGGGGTCTTCAGACTCTTCACTGCCTCTTCAGCCATCAGAAGTTCCCTTTAGAAACTTTGATAATTGTCCATTTTTTTTTGGAGGGGAGGGGGGGGGGGGGACTTTCAACACATCGGCGTTCTTTTTAACTGTGGGAATATACCACTGAGAAACTGGTTGGTTTATCCTTGGGCTTCACTCCACTACTCTCCAAATCAGCAGAATGAGGATGGATCTTCTGCTAGAACATGGAAAGATGCACACTCCCATAATTTTTTGTCTTTTGTGCATGTGGTGGTGAGTAGTGGAGCGAGGCCCGTCTGCTAGGTTGTGCAAGGGAATAGGAGGCAACTGCTTTAGAAGACTGCTGCAGATTTCAGGGAGGGCTGCAGATTTCAGGTGATGGATGTGCAATAGCTTTTGGAGCCACGAATCTTCTGCTAGAATATGGAAAGGTGCACTTCCATAATTTTTGTCTTTTGTGCATGTGTTGAGTAGCGGAGGGAGGCCCATTAGCTAGGTGGTGCAAGGGAATAGGAGGCAACTGTTTTGGAAGACTGGTGCAGATTTCAGGTGATTGATGTGCAATAGCTTTTGGAGCTGTGAAGGTACGACATGGTCCGCGGTGGAAAGCGGTAGTGGAAAGCTGATGTTTACGGATAGAAAAAGGAGAGAAGGGGTAATACTCAGGCAGGGAAAGGTAGAGTCCACATGCCTTTCATCTCCCTGCTGGGCGAACAACTTGCGACGGTAGGCTCTGGCTGTCCCTATTTGTAAATGATGTGTATTTTGTTTAAACCACCAGTACCTTTCCCCGCTTGAAAAAAAATATGCGGCGGTTAACAAGGACAACTTTCAGGGTCACGCTGCCTTTGATGAATTTCATCGGCGGCCCATGGTGCGCTTCAAGCCTCCGAAAGTCGCGATCAGGGGCCCGCGGCAGATATATGGGAAAGGCACTGGCGCTTTAAGACTTTATGTATAGATATTAGATAGATATTGAATATGGCTTCTGGTATGGGCAGTGGTAGTAAAGAGCCTCTGCGTGTCGAAGAGCAATCGTTTGTCCTGTTGGCGAAAATAAATTGGTGAAGGATTAGAAGAAAGGTTTGTGTGCACGCATCATTATTTAACCTCACATATGTTTATTGGTGTGAAGGTGGCCTGTGATGCTATATTTTTTATCTTGTCGATAATTGTGCGCATTGGTAATGGCATTATGGCACACAATTCTTTTGTGCCAGACAGAACTGCCAAGTATGTGTTCTGAAGATCTGCTGGCCCTCTCGGCACGGCGCAAAACGTGGTGAAACCTGTTCATAGTAGGGACTTGTTGTAGGATTAGTTGGAAGTGAAGTATGCATTTAGTCGGGAATATGGAAGTATGCGTTGCAGTCTCTGTCTCGATCGATAGGCTTGATTGGGAGTAGGCCAAGTGTTTGAAAATGACACGTGTGCGTGTGTATTTTTGTTGAACCGAAGCTGGGTAGCGATCCCAGCATTTTTCGGACAGATTGTGAGGACTCCGACCTCATTCGTTCTTTGATAATGAATACTTTGATCATTTTGATGATGTTTTTTTTTTTGTTTTCCAAATGAGCGAAAGAAGAAACCTGTGCATGGGACCCGGTCCGTCTGGCTGAATGGTACACACATGTAACTGTTGACGAACAGATCGCGAGTTCGAGTCCTGGTGGAATGAGATGGGCACAGTAATAATGTTATGGGAGAGCTGCTGGGAAAAAGAAAAGCAAGCTTGTTTATGCCACTTTATGGTTCTGTACTACTGTTGCCTAACATTTTAAATAAAATTTTTGAATGAGCTGACAGAAGATAAGGAAATCAGGAATTAGGAAGGAGGTTCTCTGTTGTATTTCACTCATCTGCGTCCAGTAGAGTTCGCCGGCTGGTAGGAGGGCGAGGACGTTCGCTGTCCGATGCAAAGAAGATTAGCATGGACCCTGCGTAAGGACGACACTCTGTAAATCTTACAAAAAGGGTGGCAACCTTGTGATATCATCATCATCATTGAATTGACCGGCCCCACGTAATTCAGAATGATTTTTATTCTGGTCATTTGATTGCATTTGGATTTGAACTTGAGTCTGTATTTTAGCAGTTTGTGGGTGTACCAACTGGGCTACGCCCGTTGGTACACTCATAAATCAAGAAATGGTCCAAATTGAAGAAAAAAATGGGAGGAGGTTCTCTGGGTACATTAAAGAACCAAATTGGCAGAGCGTCAGTCACTTTTCCATCCACAGCAGTGGACATACAATCAGTTTTTGAGCGAAATAGGAAGACTATGGGCCTCGATCCGCTACTCACCAAATCTGAACAATGAGAACGAATCTTCCCTACTACATGGAAAGGTGCACTGCCATATATTTTTTTCCTTTTGTGTTTGTGTTGAGTGCTGGAGCGAGTCCCTGTGAGAGCCCCAAGGGAAGGGGAACTGGAGCTACTGTGAGCTCAGGACTTCTATTCTACATATTGCTAGCTTTCCCGGGGCGCGCCCGGGTAGGGACCCCGCCCGGGGTACCCTGGGCATGCAAAAAATCGAAGTACCACCCAAATCCACCCTCAATTTTTTTTTTTTCCATGCATATCGGTTTCAGTGCGTGGGGGGGGGGGGGGGGGGGGGGGGGGGGAGGAAGCAGAGGAACTATGGCGGAGGAGGAGGGAGGCGATCTGAAGGGAGGGAGGACTATAGCGGGTGGGAGGAGGGAGGACTAAGGCGGGAGGGAGGAGGGAGGACTATCACGGGAGGGAGGAGGGAGGCAGTCTGGCAGGAGGGAGTAGGAGGGAGGACTATGGCGGGAGGTAGGAGGAGGGAGGGGTGCCACGTCGAAGGAGGGAGGAGGGAAGATATGGTGGAAGAGGAGGGAGGGAGACAATGGCTGTGAATCGGGTGAAGCTTTTCCTTTCTTTTTTTTAGAAGAGGAAGGGAGGAGGGAGGAGAGGAGATATGGCGGAGAAGGAAGGAGGTGATCTGGCGGGAGGGAGGATGGAGGACTATGGCGGGAGGAGGAGGGATACTATGGCGAGAGGGTGGAGGGGGACTATGGCTGGAGGGATGTGGCGATCTGGTGCGAGAACGCCACAGCAGAGGGAGGTGATCTGGTGGAAGGGAGCGAGGACACCATCTCAAAGAAAAACAAGACACAAACTCTAAAGAGAGAAGAATAAGCAGCAGCAGCAGCAGAAGAAGAAAGACGAAGAAGAAGAAGAAGAAGAAGAAGAAGAAGAAGAAGAAGGAAGAAAGAATAAGGGAGGGAGAGTGGAAGGGAAGGGGGCGAAAGAGGAGAAGGGAGAAGGCAGGCAAAAGAGAGGAGAGGAAGGACGGGAAGAAGAGGAGAGAAAACTTAGACCACCAGTACTTGCGACCCTTGCTTTGTCCTCTGTGGACCTCTGAAGTCTGAACCCATTCAAATTCAAACCAGGCCCAGCGGGGCCCAAACATCCCAGAAAGGTGGGTCGCGAGTTTATGGGCGCACCTTGCTCGACTACTGGTGGTTAATTGTACTCCACTACAATGCCGTAGGCGGGTGGCGCGTTTATGGACGCACCTTGCTTGAGTACTGGTGGTCAATTGTACTCTACTACAATGCCGTAGGGGTTACTCACAGTGAGATTGTTTTTTTGATGTTTGTATTATGACCCTGCATAGTTTGTTCGCAAAAGTTTCGACAACATTGCTTGTAGCGACGCGGCGAAACCCCCCGAATTTTTAGCCTTCAATTAACCGCTAGTGCTCACAGTAGGATGCTGCTGGATATATCTCACTGCAATTATGGCCAGTCTTCGATGTGTCTGCCAAGAATAACTGAAGAATCACATTCAGAAATTTCGACAGATTCGCCGGAAAAATCCTCGTGCGAGTATATGGCACTGTGGCAATATGCCCTTACCAACGTCCCTGATCACAACAAAGCCCAATGACCTCTCCTTTCTGCTTGTCTGAAAAAGAAGGTAGATATAAGAGTCCAATCTATATGAGCAGTGGAGAAGCTCTGACGGAAATGTGGATGACGAATAGACTCTTGTTAGTGCCAGCTCGTGTGAATGCGATAATTTATCGTACTCGGTGAACGATGTTTATAGCAAACAGTCTGCGCGTACACTTCTCGATTTATGTGTGTCATCGTTGCTCAGGGGCCATGCTACCATCTTCACCCGAATAGAACGCCCGGTCATTTAGCTGCATTTGGCACAACTTTCAGCCCAGATACGGCGATAATTACTGGGCGTTCTATTCGGGTGAAGACAGTAGTTAGTCTTTTCTGTATTGTTCCAATTATAACGGTTATAACGGATGTCCCGAAAGACAAACACAACCGGCTGCATATAATCTGTGTGAAGATGACTTTGCCCTGGAAGTAGAAGGCAGACCTGCAATAAACGACTCCCTGAAAGCAGCTTCACCTGCAATTAGCGACAAACTGTCCTCACCCAAATAGAACGCGCAGTCATTATTGCTGTATCTAGACTGAAAATTGCACCAAAAACAGCTATAATGACAGGGGGTTCTATTCGGGTGAAGACTGTAGTCCTCCTCCGCTTATCCTTCCACCTGATGTCAAGAAGCATGCAGTAGAATAGTGTGGAGCGAAGAGTGAATGTGATGCTCGCGGACACAGTTTTACTAAGAAAGAAACGAGACGGGCGTACTGAACAAAAGGTCCAGGATGGAGGAATGAGAATGGCTACAACTCACTTGGTACACCCAATGAACTGTTGAAATACAGACGCAAGTTTAAATCCAGATGCAGTCAGATGAACAGAAAAAAATGATTCTGAACGACCTGGGGCCGGTCAGCTCAATGATGATATCTCAAGGCTGTTTCCCTTTTCTGAAGAAAAAAAAAGAAGAGAGAAAAGCAAGCTAAGTATCTTTGATGAAAGATGATGAAGTTACAGAAAACGGTGACAAAAAATGTGATGCTTGCGGACAAGAGTTTTACCCATAAGAAGAAATTAGAAGGGCGCGCTGAACAAAAGGTGCATGGTGGAGGAGGAATGAGAAAAACAAGTGAAGTATCTTTGGTAGGAAATGACGAACAGATAAAGAGGAAGTCTTACGCCAACCCCTATTTGGGAAGCCGTGTGTGAGAGACGCAAGCGATCACTCACTCTCACTCCCAAGCAGCAGCCAGCGGTGGCTCTCATGGGTCAAGCACAGAGTATGGAGGATTAGCCGTATCTGCGATGGAGATAGAAAGGACTGGATTGACGAGGAAACAATAAAATCACGCCTGAAGTGCTGCCACTACAGAGGTGAAAACCTGCAAACAGTGAATAACAGTATCCCAGATGGATGGAAAGACTTACTCACTCAAAGATAACTCCTCTTGGAAGCCAGGCGAGTGGGGAGTACTGACACAGGCAGGAGACGATGCCTGCAAAGGCATACCAATTCTCCCACAGACCTCCGGGATCAGACCTTTGGGGGGTCTTCAGCTCATTCCCGATAGACCTAACCGATCCCAAATCTCCCTCCATCTACAACACAGACCCACAACAACAGTCAGTCCTGAGCTCATTCACACTTCGAAAAATAAGAGTATTAGGCAATTGGGCAAAAACAATCTTCCAAAAATTGAAACAGCAATCCCAAGAATTAAGAGCTTGACCCAGATCAGTGGGCATGGTCCCCTGATAACAACAGATTTTGCAAAACTCCGATTCACGTTACACAATACACAATTGAAATGGGCTACAGAATGCTACTGAAGACGAAAGACCCAGATCCGGTGATCAAAGTTAGGTGAAACAAGGTACTGGTTCAGGAAGCAGAACGAATATAAAAAATTTCCTTGGCAGAAATACAGATCAATCCGCCCGGTCAAAATAAGAAGCCTACAGTTGAATTGAGCCAAGTACTCGTCGAGTTCAACCTCGCATACATCAATGAACATTCACATGAGAGTTCACACGTGAGAAGCCAAATCGAGATACAATCAACACTTGAAGAAGATGTTGTCTCCAATATTGTTATCAATGTACAAGAATGTTTGTCTCCAGTGGCTCTGCCGCACACATACACTAC